CATTTATATCTTCAAAGAGTTTCTAGTGTTTTAATTGTTCAAAAGCTTATTTCAAAAGTTGGAGCAAGCTTCTCTTCAGTTTTATGGTACTCTGAGATATGCAATTTTCTCCATTACATGAAGAACCTAACTTCGGGGTTGATGTTGGAAAGACAAAAGGCATTAAATAAAAGCCTAGACTTGTTTTTCTTCTTAGCTCTTACCTTTCTTTTGATCTTTGTGGTCAAGACACAAGTTCATTACACTATGTAGCCGCTACATTTGGTTAAATGACCCTTAAGTCCGAGTTTTTGTTTTTTAGCGTGGTCCTTAGGTAATATGATAGTGCCGATATCCTTTTGATGTGATCATCGGATTAGCAATTCTATGGAGAAGTGAAGAAGAGGCCACGTGCACTGATATTCATTATAAGTCATTTCCTTTGTAGCATTTTGAGTTGGCATTAGTTGAGGAATCTTGTTGGTCAAAATGTAGAGCTAGATATACTTGTTCAGCAACCTGAGAATTTAAAGTATAAAACTTGGTCTCCCTACTTAAAGTGGTACCTAATAATTGAGAAACATGAGAGGTAGGTAGAGGATTTTCGTGGATGAAAGTAAGAATACTCAAGGAAAGGGTGGGAAAAAGTTTTAGTTTTTTCAGAAAGGGTGAGAGGCTGAGAGAAAAATTATTAATCATACCGTGCATCATATTGGATATATTTGCATGTCAGGTCAGTATCTTTAAATGCAGACTTTATATTTGCACAATTAGTGTTTCATAGATGAGTTGCATTGGCCCAGCTTTTCAATTAAGTGTTTTGCTTGTTGCAGGATTTACAAGTTAAGTCTTCGCCACCTCTTCAACCTACACCACCTATAAATAACGACCCAGCTATTATACAGGTAAGTAAAAAGAAATTGCACAAATGCTTATTATTATGTTTTGATTGAATTCTAATTCCTCTTAACCAACCTTCCAGTCTCACTATCCTCGACCACCTACCACATCGGCAAGTTTACCTGCTGCTGTTGGTGGATCTTTGACTGATCTAAGTTCCCATTCTGCACAGCCGGGACATCCTGGCTCAACATTCCAAAGTGGCCTGCCTTTGTATCAACCTGGAGGTAATATGGGATCTTGGGGTCCATCTCCTCCTCCTCCAAATGCCGGTGCTGGTGGACTTGCTATGCCAATGTATTGGCAAGGTTTTTATGGTGCACCCAATGGATTACCACAAATGCAGCAACAATCTTTGCTTCGTCCTCCTGGACTTGCCATGCCTCCTTCCATGCCGCAGATGCAGTTTTCTGGTTTCAATTCGTCTTTGCCAACTGGAGGATCAAGCCTACAGGCTCCAAACTTCCCAGAATACCCTTCTTCATTGATGCCAACAACTACTAGTTTAACCTCTAGTTCTTTACCCGCTGCTACTTTGCCTTCAACTGTGCCATCGCTGCAACCTGTGGTACCTGTGACTGAAACAATATCCAGCGCAATTTCAAAGAAGGCTTCTGTTTCTGCTAACCCCACTTCGACATTAAGTGCTAGTTTACCGACTTTGCCTCCTTTGTCAACAAGTCCTGATGTAAATCCCGTTGTTCTGCCAGTATCTAATAAACCTAATCCAGTACCTAGCCCAGCTTTGTCTCAATCGGTATCTACTATTGTGGAGACACCCACACCGTCGCTGATAACTCCAGGGCAGCTACTGCAATCTGGACCAATTGATGTTCCATCAACTCAATCTATGCAGACATCTCAAAGAGATGTAGAAGTGGTTCAAGTATTGCCTGCACCATCTTCAGAACCTCCAGCCCCTGCTAAAACAGAAGCTCAGCCACCAATATTACCATTACCATCCCAGACACGTGTGCAGAAGGTGCTCTTTTACGATTATTCATTCTATTACCAAGTGTTATTTTATCTACTTAATTCATTTATTTTGCATTCTTGATCTTCCCTGTGTGGACAGTATTAGGCTAATCAAATCCTATTTCCCAAGGTATTGTTATCTTTTTTGAACTTTTAATTTGAAAAAAATCAATAGCGGATGCTTGCGACTTAAGGGGCTATCTGTAATTAAGCTGGAATACTTGACTAAGTTCTCAGTTAGCATACTTTTTAACTGCCTTTTCTGGCAAATATTAATGAAGTCTTTTGATTTGATAGTTTGTTTATTTATCATAGTGAGAGAAGGAGATAATTCTATAAAACATCGGGTGAATTTGGCTAGATGCCTCTATAAGGTTGTTATGCAGTCTGCTCTAGACAATAACCATGGTTATTGTATTTAATATGGTGTCCAGTTTCCTGTCAATCTTTACTTGTAGTCCTCTTGGTACATTTACTTCTACTTCTGTTTTATTGCTGCTATCTCTTTATCAAGAATCTGTTTTTGGAGGGGAACTACACTTTTGAGGTAGTATACCGGTGGATAAATATAGACTATCTGTTACATTTCTCAAAAACAAAAAACAAAAAAAAGAATCTATTTTAAAGAATAAAATTAGACTCATGAAGGAAGTTCATTAAGAGAAAGAATTCTGGTGAGGATTCACTTGAGTGACATAGTAATAATTCTTGTCTACCTTGACTGTATTTGATGCTCACACTTATGCCGGAGCGTGTTGAATATTTAGGAGCTGCTTGGTTATGAAAAATACTTTTAGTGACCAATTTTTTAATCATTCTTAACATTGCACTGCTCTGAATGCCTCTATTCTTTTCCCTTTATTGCTTCCATTTCTTCATCATGGATCATTAGCAAGAAAATTAGACCCGTCCAGAATAAAAAGGGCAAGACTGGTGATGTTCTTCACAATGATGTGGTGGCAAAATCATATGATATTGTTTGTGAAGCTAATAATCTTCTTTCATTTTCTTTTCTTCTAGACAAATGGAGCTCCATATCAGCCGCGTTATGTCAACTACAGAGGGCGTGGTGGAAGAGGAATGGGGGTAATGAATTATGTGCATATTTAAGCGGCCATTATCAGCCCATACATTTTTATGGCATTGTAGTCATAACTGCATCTGATGTCTTATATTTTAATCTATTTTGTTCTTTGTAAATAGTTTCAGTCTGGAGTTACAAGTCCTTTAATGGAGGTCACAAATTCCAAATCTGCCCCTTTCAATGAGAACTTTTTCTTTGATGAATGGCCAAAGGGGGATTAGTCCAAGATTCTTGCATTCAATTTAAACTAGTTGAGTTAATTCAAACACTAACACAATATATCCATGCATTGTAGGGAACTCTGTAGGCGGAGTATTTCTTAGAACACTGATTTGCTAGTAGTTGTTGTTAGTTCTGGTGGCATCACCAAGCATTTGAGTGTGCATGGCGATACAAGTTATGTGGGTAGGTTTGATTACAAGTAGTAGACTGGTACATGATCCCCACTTTTGTCTGATCGCTCGAGTTTCATTGTCGTTTACCCTGTTTTGCAGTTGTGATGGTTGTTATACTGGCTAAACTAGTATGTTTGTTCGGGTTTCTGCTATATGAACATGACAGCTAGCGATATATATATATTTATATGTTCTCTTTTTTTCTAGGATTTGCTATCAGTATTTTGACTCTACCGTACAATATTTTCATGTAGTCTTACATTGAAGAATGAATCTTAAGTCCATAATTTGTGCATTCCATCATTTGACTCGCTGCTTAAATGGATTTACTAAGGTTAATCTTAATGCATTAGAGCAGTCCTTTAGTTAATTGACTTTTGAATTGCTTTGGTCGGGCTTGTGATTTATAGTGGATTTGGCCTTTGCTTGGTGTAGTTAATGAGATAGGTTGATTATCTTCCTTGCCAGGTTTCTAGACCAGTAACAAAGTTCGAAGAAGATTTTGATTTTATGGCCATGAATGAGAAGTTCAAGAAAGATGAAGTATGGGGTCATCTTGGCAAAAGTAACAGAGAAGGAGATGGAAATGGCAGTGATGAGGATATCTCTTACAACGAATATGAGGATGATCTTCCTAAGATTGATGTCCAGGTATTTACTTAAATTCTCTTCGAACCCAATTCTAATGCATACCCTTGACCATGAATTTTGGTACTAGTTTTGTGTGTTGTGTTTAATCTACCTTTTCTTTCCTGCAGCCTGTTTACAATAAGGACGACTTTTTCGACTCTTTGTCAAGTAATGCACTTGACCATGACTCAAATCATGGAAGGACCAGGTTCTCCGAGCAAAGGAAGATAGATGTTGAGGTATATCTGATTCTTATGCTCTACTTTCCCAAGTATGGTTCTTCTTCAAGAAACTAATCTTGTTTGATGGGTGCAGACATTCGGAGATTTCTCAAGATACAGGGGCGGCCGGGGTGGTCGTGGTCCTGGACGTGGTGGACGTTCTCGAGGTTCATATTATGGAAGAGGTGGAGGTGGATATGGAGGTGGATATGGATATGGAAACGGAAATGGAAACGGGAATGGAAATGGATATGGTTATGGTTATGGTGGTGGTAGGGGCAGAGGCCGTGGTGTGCCATCCCGTACTTTGTAAAAGCATAGGTGTATTATCAAGGTTGAGCTAGAAGCAAATATCTGCCTCTTTTAGGCAAGGATATTGTTAGTACTATCTAATCCTGTAACTTTTGTGCATCTTTTGTCTGCGTTTCCGAAGAATAAATTCAGGCTGTAAACGTATGTTCAGTTTTCTTTCCTTGGGCTATAGAGCTCATTTTTCTAGCTGCAAATTTCACAATCACAATGGCTGTAGTCATTGGATGTAATTTGCTTGTCGATTGCAATGTGAAAATTTGACATATTTCCCATTTTCCTTCAGTAATTTTCTTGTACAACTCCAGCTTTGAACAAGTTTTTTGATATTCTTGTGGTTCCAAAGTATACTTCATTTCCTTCATTATATGCATACATATACACAAATCCAAAAGGAATGAAACAAAGTTTACACATTGACTAAAATGATACGCAGCTAGAGTAGACTTGTATGATCATTAAGTGAATCTGATCCCATTTAGTCCCTTTCTTTAGTGAAACAAAGTTTCAGAAATTGGTGAGTTTATAGTAGCAGTTATTTCCACATAGCAGAATCTGATATCCTTTACCACAAGGACACTTGAAATGAAGGATCAGACAGTTCCCCATTCTTTCCACCCATACAGCCTCCTCACACAATGCTTCTCCTCCACCACTATCTGTCTCATCATCCTAGTCGAAACCAAGAAAAAAACACCCATTAGTAAACGAAAAAGTGGGGTCTGGGGAGGGTAGAGTGGAGGTAGAGAGACATGTTTCCGAAAGACCCTCGACTCAAATGCAGAACCACATCATAGTAAACAAGACTAGTTCTAAATGCTTAAAAGGTAGATCTTTTCTGCTCTATAATGAACATTAACCAAAACAGCAAGAACCCCTAATCACAGTAAACACAACTAATTTTAAGTGATTAAAAGGTCAATTTTTTTTTGCACTATTACATTAAACAGATGAGCAACAACACCAGTAAACATAGAAAATGAAAAATTCAATATACCTTTACAATCTTGTTTTCTTCATGGGAAGTTTCTTCTTCTTCTTGAATCATAAGGTCACACCATTGTCTCATTTCTCTCATTCCATCTTTCATTCTCTTTAACCTCTGCATATCACAACAAACAAAACGTAAGATCTCCATTGAAATCAACAACAACAAACTCCGTGAAATCCCACAAAGTTGGGTATGGAGAGGGTAGAGTGTACGCGCCTTACCACTACCTTGATTGTTTTCAAAAGACCCTCGGCTTTTTTTTTCAATAAAAAACACCCAACATTGAGAAAAAGAAACTGAAACTGAAAAGCCAAGATTTAGGAGTATAACCATTGTAGTAGGAGATTCTCCATTGTTAACTGAACCACCTAATACTTGAACATTTGGTGACCAGCTAGCTGTTCTTGCAACAGCAGAGTGAGTTGGGGATTTCTGGAAAATCAAAATGAAGAAACAGAAATTGTTAAAATTTAGGAACAAATTGAAAGAAAACTCGAAAAAAAACGAGATTTAGAAACAAACAAACCATTGTAGTAGGAGATTCTCCATTGTTGAAATTGAGCTCATTTGGTGACCAGCTAGATGTTCTTGTGAGGGTACGGTGAGATGGGGGTTTAGGGGATTTTCCAGTGGGATCTGAGGTAGTCCGATAAAGGGGTCGAGGAAATGGCGGCGCTAATGGTGGTTTCGCCGGAGATGGTGTAGGCGATGGAGTCACCGGAGATTCTTGGTTATTTTGAAGTGGGATTTTTATGAAACCTTGGAAATGGTTACTGTTATTGTTGTTGTAGGGGTCGGCGGCAACGACGGCGCCGCCGTCTGCGGCGGTGGAAATGGGTGGTAGAACGGTGACAGTTCTTTTTGGAAAGGGCTCTTCCAGAGAAGAAGAGAAACGACAGTTTGAGTGTCTCTTTCCCTTGGTAGTGGTGGTGGCGCCGCCGTAAAGGGTAGTTTTCTTACATGACGTGGCAGGTGTCTCAATGGCGGCGGCGATGGTGGTGGTGGAAATTTCAGGTGAGAAATGTGGGATTTTCTTGACGGAACGATAAGAATGGCATTGCTGAAGAGGAGATTGGTCGCCGGAGAATTTTCCGGTAGTGGCGTCAGCGGCGGAGCTGAGGCGGAGCATGGCTAAGTGAGAATCAACAGAAATTGAAAGTTCGTTTTGCATTTCTCTGTTGAAAAAACTGTATAAACTGAATTGAAAGATTTAAAGCGCCAAAAAATTAAGGCTGCGTTTGGATATTTATAGAGTACATTTTCCTTTTTTAACAAAAAAGTTTTTTATTTCTTCTTGTTTTTGGTGATCTCTAAATCTTCAAGTTAATTATGGTTATGTTATTTTCTTATATATTTTTTTAATCATCTCGTATTCAAATTCACTAATCTAATTAATTCAAATTTGGATATCTATAGAATACAACTCTTTGTTGCTTATTCTTTTTTTGTTTATCTGTAAATCTTCAATTGAGTCGTAAATTATATTCCATTTTCTATATTTTTGTTATATAATATGGTGTTCTAACTATACTAACGTGAATAATTCAAATTTGTATGATTTAAGAAATATTAAGTGGTAAACGCTTTCCTTTAGAATTTTTTCGATTTTCAGAACTCAAATTCGAAACTTCAGACGGAAGGATTGCCTTACATAAGATCACTTGTACAAATTAATTGGTTGACTACTTTGATAATAGATTGCCAAAAAAATGCATCATCCTATTACAAGTCTTTAAATTTAAATGGATTTTATACTAGTTAATTAAAAGTAGGTGTGCATATTGGTTGAGATAACAAAATGACACATCTTCAAAGTATATTTCATTTATTATAAAAATTTAGTAATACATTTTATTTCAAACTCACAAACAAAAGCTTTGTAATACATAAACTCTTGAAGAATAATCATACATCTCCAAAGTCTTTTACATTCCTTATTTTGATATTCTAATAATATCAACTTGAAATGATCAATTCATTTTTCGACACACCTTCATCAGACGATCTTATTACTTTTCATGGATTGAACATGTGAAAATTCTCAGCTCAGCTCGGAAACTTTAATTTACTTGCAAGTAGCAACAAGGACCTTCCTAGGTGGAAGAGAAGGCCTTCTACCATGAAGTGTAGCCAAATTATCAAGGAAAAGAACATCACCCTTTTGCCATTTGAATTGTATGCTTTCTTCTTCAATTATTTCTTCACATCTTTTTACTATGTTTTGTGGTATTTCTGTTCCATCAAACATCATGGCTGAGCTTATGTCTTTGCCATACATTCCAACCAATGTGTTGAACCACATTCTTCTTCCTTTTCTTCCATCAAACACTTTTGTTAAACATCTTGGTCCTAAGATTGTCTTTACACCACCATTTGGTAGCCATTCCATTTCCATTCCAAGTGCTTTTGCCCTATAATCAAGAATTTTTTTAATAAGGTAGTTATTTCGAAGGATAATTAATTCCACGTATGATTACTGAGTTTTACTCATTATAAAGTAAAGTCATAGAACTACTTGTCGTAACATTAGAGACCAACTAACTTATATGTGAATCATACAGAATAACCAAAAGGTTAAAAGTCTTTTTTTTTTTTTGTGATAATAGTAGTGTTTCCATCCCAAACATGTCGATCATTCTATCAGATATCTATCACCTTCCACTAACACAAATATCGAGCAACTCTTTGCCCAAACCTTAGGCAATTTCGCAAACTTTTATGATTGTATATATTCAGTATTATACGTTTACCAATATTGGGTAAAATAATTTGTCATAAGCAATAATTTCAAGTTCAAGCCTTTAGTATCACGAAGTAGATCTCTTTTGATAAGGAGCTAGCGCTTTACCCCTTTCTATTACTTCTAGACACAAATTCATCGAGCTTCAAAGTAGATATCGAACACCGTATAAAAATCCAAAAAGTTGTAATAATAAATGATTAAATTACCTTTTTTCAGCTTCAATAGGATCAGAAGTACCAAAAGCATCCTCCCATCCTCTACCTCTCATTGAACCTTGATCATTCTTACTTGGAGCACTAAATGTGTATTTAAGTCCTTTTTTCTCAATTTCTTCAACAGCTTCTGGAAATTCCTCTATCATTCTTTCTGTTACTCTAAAACTTGGAACAAATGGTGTTTCCCCTCCTTCTGGTGGTGGTATTTCACAATACAATATCACTTTCTTTGGAAATTCCTTTATCTACATATATAACAAATAAGTATGTCATAGAAAAAATGATCATCCAAACACATCAACTCGTCTTTACTGTGTCAGTTGAATAACTCCAACTTACAAAATGATCATCTAAACACTTTTCAAAATTTATGCGTCACAATAGCATCGAATGTCCACGAGACATAGTGAGAACGAGCTGGAGTGTTTAGTTGCGAAAAAGTTTGCCAAGTTTTATGGTTTAACCTGTTTGGACCGAAATAATTATGTGTCATGCGGAAGCTGACAACACAAAGTATTATTAGTATTATTCATTTAGTACTCCTCCAATCATTAATCAAGTTTAATATAATATAATTCCCTTTTAGGCCGTCTAGCCATCTTCATATAAAATTAAAATAAAATTGAAGACCATGCCCAAGCTAAGTGACAATATGATTCTCATTGAAATAGTGAATTTTTTTTCTAATTTTTCAGTGTGAAAATACTATTGGTTTTTTTTCTCACTAGAAATAGTCAGTGAACATTTTTCATTGAAAAATTTCAATGGAAAAAATAGTGACTTTTCAGTAATGGATATGCAAAAATCTTAAAAGACAGATAATACGATATACTTACAAGGACCATTTCATGATGATAATATATAAATTCAGAAAGGGGTCCTTCATTAGCAGTCCAAACTCTCTTGTAAATATGTGTTCTTGGTGCTGGTCCAACATATCTAATATCTTCCCAACCAAATACTTCAACAATATCATTAAAATTTTGTGCATTTTTCACATCAAATCCTCTTAAAAGAACAGCACTATTTTTTGTAATCATATTATCAAACCAATCCTTATTATTTTCCAAATATTCAAGTAATGAATTGATATCATTCTTGTTATTTGGTTCAATAGGATTTAGAACTAATGGCATAATTTCACCATCAACAATTTTTTCTCCTTCACATTTTCCCACTTTAAAATCCTTGCAGTTGTATTCCATTTTTTTTTCTTTTTGTAAATTGATAAAATAAAATAAAAACTTGATTTTTTGGCAATGGATTGTTGAATTGCAATTGAAGGGATTTATGGTATTTATAGAAGAAAAAAAGGAATCAAAATAATGATTTGGTGGTGATGGACAATGTTGGTCTTTGGGTTCTTCATTTGTCTTTGTGTGATTAGTTATTTTTAAACTATGGTTTGGTGTATTTGTTTGTGTCATTTTGTTTTTATTAATATAACTAAGTTTTCTTGTTTTGCTTGGTAAACAACTACAAGATTATTTAATGACAAAAAGGGGAAAAATAAAAAGAGGTATAATCTTGCTAATTATATATTCTTAAAACTCCATCCATTCCCTAATTATACAATTTTCCAACCTAATATTAATTGGAGAACATTAATAATCAAACTTAGAATTTTACTAGTGCCAACACACACATCATCTAATACACGGTCAATTAATGTTTGACTAAAAGTCTTTCCCGACATTATCTCATTCCGAGAACTCATAGAAATATATACCTCGGACCATCGGATGGTGCTACTATTCATTCGATGTGCAAAAATGTGTTGAACTACGTACTTTCATAAGTTCGTGAGTGAAATATCTAGCATCAGTAGAATAGTATCCACAACTCCTTTGCATGCTTCGTAGCAAGAAAAGATGTATTATGTTAAAGAAAATCCTTAAATAAAAATAATACTTAATTGATGTTCTCTAAGAAATATAAAAAATAAATTGAACAAGTAAAAATGATCTGAGATAAAACATCATGTCAACTTTATTGATGTCCTTTAAGTAAATTAAATTATTAGCTTATGAATATATATAGCTGTCTCTAAGACATAAGAAACTGAGGTCCAATTTGTACTTAGCTTTAATTTTTACCTGAAAAAAAATCAGTAACATTGTTGGCATCAAACTGTAACAAGGAAACATATATGTGATTAATTTATTAATTAACTTATGGAATTAAGTGCTCCTACTTAATCCTAATATTATATGTAGATTGAAGAAAGAATAACTAAGGAATTTTTCAGGAAAGCCTAAGAAATATTAATAATTAATAATGGACCTACAAGAAAATTGTGATTATGAATAATAATAAGTATGATGTATTAAGAGAATTATACCTTAGGATTTATATAGTACTATTAACATTTTAATCTATTTCGAAAAGAATTGATACACTTTCCTATTTTTATCGATAAAATTCTTTAATCTTAATGTTTTCATTTTATCTTTCTCTTTAATGATATACAAAATAAAAACGATATGATTATAAATTACTAAGTGGGGTGAGGGTGAGGGTGGGGGGGGGGGGGGGGCAGGGCTGCATATGCTACAAAATTAGGGATGCCAATGGGGTGGTGTGGGGCGGGAGTGGGGTGGGGTGATTTTAACTAGTAAAATTTTTAATCCGCTCCGCATAACAATTTTTTTCATTTTCATTCCTCTCTACCCCACCGTGCATAGACCTTTATATTTTCTTTTTCTAGTTAAGTTTGATAATAAAAATAAAATTCATTTTTTCATTTAAGTTGTATTAATTTAATAGATAATGACTTAAAATTTTATTTTTTAGAGGTCAATTGTGAAACATGTAAGAAATTGTATTATTTTTTAGTTTTCTTCATGTTTTGCCCTTATCATTAAATACTTATTCTCCAATTTATCTTTCAAGTCCTAATACTAAACATCAATTAATAAGGATAGTGTAGTAAAATACTTATATCAATACTTTCTCTATTCAACAATAGTTGTGCACTATTGATTTGACATATCCCTTAAGAAACGATAAATAATAGGGGTAGTATTACTATATTAACCTTTAACTTTATTAAATTTAATGCTTTGAAAAATATGTTAGATGATTCATAATATTTAATAGCTCTTAATTTTCTAAATTGGCAAGTATTGTTGGACAACTATTTTTAGTATAGTACTCCTTCTGTCCCTAATTACTTGTCCACTTTTCCCTTTTTAGTTGTCACTACTTACTTGC